GATTATGCTAAGTGAAATAAGTCAAGAAGAGAAAGTAAATTATCATATGGTTTCACTTATTTGTGGAACATAAGGAATAGCATGGAGGACATCAGGAGAAAGAAGGGAAAAATGAAGGAGGGGAAATCGGAGGGAGAGATGAACCATGAGAGACTATGGACTCTGAGAAACAAACTGAGGGTTTTAGAGGAGAGGGCTGTGGGGGGATGGGTTAGCCCAGTGATGTGTATTAAGGAGGACACATACTGCATGGAGCACTGGGTGTTATATGAAAACAATGAATCATGGATCACTACATCAAAAATTAATGATGTATTGTATGGTGACTAACATAACATAATAAAATAAAATTTAAAAAATTCATGAAAACGAAAACACAACTGTTCAAAATCTTTGGGATGCAGCAGAGGTGGTCCTAAGAAGGAAATACATAGCAATACAAGCCTTTTTCAAGAAACAAGAAAGGTCTCAAATACACAATCTCATGTTACATCTAAAGGACCTGGAGAAAGAAAAACAAATAAAGCCTAAACCCAGCAGGGTATGAGAAATAATAAAGATCAGAGCAGAAATCAATGAAATAGAATCCAGAAGAACAGTAGAACAGATCAATGAAACTAGGAAATGGTTCTTTGAAAGGATTGATAAGATAGATAAAACCCTGGCCAGACTTATCAAAAAGAAAAGAGAAAGGATCCAAATTAATAAAATCATGTATGAAAGAGGAGAGATCACAACAAACACCACAGAAATACAAACAATTATGACAACATATTATGAGTAAATATATGCCAACAAATTAGGCAATCTGGAAGAAATGGATGCATTCCTGGAGACATATAAACTACCAAAACTGAAACAGGAAGAAATAGAAAACCTGAACAGACAGAGAACTCGTTCTCTGAGGCCAGCATTACCTTGATCCCAAAACCAGACAAAGACCCCACCAAAAAGAATTACAGACCAATATCCCTGATGAGCATGGATGTCAAAATTCTCACCAAGATACTAGCTAATAGGATCCAACAGTACATGAAAAGGATTATTCACCATGACCAAGTAGGATTTATTCCTGGGCTGCAAGGGTGGTTCAACATCTGCAAATCAATCAATGTGATACACTACATAAATAAAGAAAGGACAAGAAGCATATGATCCTCTCAATAGATGCAGAAAAAGCATTTGACAAAGTACAGCATTCTTTCTTCATTAAAACTCTTCATAATGTAGGGATAGAGGGTACATACCTCAATATTATAAAAGCCATCTATGAAAAGCCCACAGTGAATACCATTCTCAATGGGGAAAAACTGAGAGCTTGTCCCCTAAGCTCAGGAACCCAACAGGGATGCCCACTCTCACCATTGCTGTTCAACATAGCACTAGATGTCCTAGCCTCTGCAATCAGACAACAAAAAGTAATAAAAGGCATCCAAATCAGCAAAGAAGAAGTCAAACTTTCACTCTTTGCAGACGACATGATACTCTTTGTGGAAAACCCAAAAGATTCCACCCCAAAATTGCTAGAACTCATACAGGAATTCAGCAAAGTGGAAGGATATAAATTCAATGCACAGAAATCAGTTGCATTTCTATACTCGAACAACGAGACCAAAAAAAAAAGAGAAATTAAGGAGTAGATCCCATTTACAATTGCACCCAAAACTATAAGATATCTAGGAATAAACCTCACCAAAAAGACAAATGTTCTGTACTCAGGAAACTCAAAATGGATGACAGACCTCAATGTGAGACAGGAATCCATCAAAATCCTAGAGAACAGGCAGAACAATTTGGCCATTGTTGATAATGCTGCTATACACATTCCTAGCTATCTTATGGTTTTTGGTGCAATCGTACATGGGACCGATTCCTTGATGTCTCTTTCTGCTGATTCATCATTAGTGTATAGAAATGCAACAGATTTCTCTACATTGCTTTTGTATCCTGTGACATTACTGAATTCATTTATTAGTTCTAACCATTTTTTGGTGGTCTTTTGTGTTTTCTGTGTAGAGTATCATCTCATCTGCAAATAGTGAAAATTTTACTTATCTTTGCCAATGTGGATGCCTTTAATTTATTTATTTCACCAAGTATTTATTTATTAACTTACTTATTTTTGTTTCAAGTTTTTATTTAAATTTCAGTTAGCTAACATATAATATAATATTAGTTTCAGGAGTAGAATTTAGTGATTCATCAGTTACCAGTAACACCCAGGGCTCATCACAAGTGCCCTCCTTAATACCTATCACCCATTTAGCCCACCCTCCTGCCCACCTCCCCTCTAGCAACCCTCAGTTTGCTCTCTATAGTTAAGAGTCTGTTTTATGGTTTGCCTCTTTTTTATTTTCCCCTACGTTCATCTGTTTTGTTTCTTAAATTCCACATATGAGTGAAATCATGGTATTTTTCTCCAACTGATTTATTTTACTTAGCATTATACTCTCTAGCTCCATTCATGTTGCTGCAAATGGTGATACTTCATTCTTTTTATTTTTATGTTATTGTGCAATTATTCCATTTAAAACAAAAATAAATCAAATAAATATAGATCAAACAAATATATATATCATCTTCTTTATTCATTCTTCTATTGATGGACACTTGAGCTGCTTCCATAATTTGGCTATTGTAAATAATGCTGCAATAAGCATATGGTTGTTTATATCTTTCCAAATTAGTGGTTTAGTATTCTTTGGGTAAATACCTGATAAATTGCTGGATCATAGGGTAATTCTATTTTTAACTTTTTGAGGAACCTCCATACTGTTTTCCAGAGTGGCTGCACCAGTTTGGATTCCCACCAACAGTGTAAGAGGGTTCCCCTATCTCTGCATCCTCACCAGCATCTGTTGTTTTCTCCGCTATTAATTTCAGCCATTCTGACAGGTGTGAGGTGACATCTCATTGTAGTTTTGACTTGTTTTTCCCTGATGAGTGACGTTGAGCATCTTTTCATGTATCTTTTAGCCATCTGAACGTCTTCTTTGGAAAAATGTCTATTCATGTCTCCTGCCCATTTCTTAACTGGATTATTTGTTTTTTGGGTGTTGAGTTTGATAAGTTCTTTATAGATTTTGGATACTAGCCCTTTATCAGATATGTCATTTGCAAATATCTTCTCCCATTCTGTCAGTTGCCTTGTAGTTTTGTTGATCATTTCCTCTGCTGTGCAAAAGCTTTTTATCTTGATGAAGTCCCAATAGTTCATTTTTACTTTTGTTTCCGTTGCCTCTGGAGACATGTCTAGTAAGAAGTTGCTATGGCTGATGTTGAAGATGTTTCTGCCTGAGTTCTTCTCTAGGATTTTGATAGTTTTCTGTCTCGCATTTAGGTATTTCACTCATTTTGAATTTATTTTTGTGTATGGTGTAAGAAAGGGGTTGATTTTCATTCTTTTGCATGTTGCTGTCCAGTTTTCCCAGCACCATTTGTTGAAGAGACTGTCTTTTTCCCATTGGATAGTCTTTCCTGCATTGTCTGAGAATAGTTATGCATCCATATCTTAGTTTTCTATTCTGTTCCATTGATGTATGTGTCTATTTTTTTGTGCCAGTACCATACTGTCTTGATGGCTACAGCTTTGTAATATAACTTGAAGTCCGGAATTGTGATGCCTCCAGCTTTGCTGTTCTTTTCAAGATTGCTTTGGCTATTTGGGGTCTTTTGTGGTTCCGTACAAATTTTAGGATTGTTTGTGCTAGCTGTGTGAAAATGCTTTAGGTATTTTGATAGGGATTGCCTTAAATGTGTAGATTGCTTTAGGTAGTATCGACATTTTAACAACAGTTGTTCTTCCAATCATAAGCATTGGAATGCCTTTCTATTTCTTTCACATTATAAATATTTTCAAATGCAGTACTTAAAAATGTGAAATTAGGAACATTTGTTTTAAATGGAATAATTGTGTAATAACTTAAGGATTAAATCAAGAATAAGGAAATCACTGAGGAAATAGCAGCAATATAGTTGATAGAGAGTAGAGTGTAAATATCTTAATCTGAAATCATGATAAGCTATGTTCAGAAGGGATAGGATTTTTTTAGTGAATGTGTGTGATAGTGGATTTAACACATAATTTGTTAGGCAGAGAATGACTTCAAGTGCTGGCTTAGAAAAAAACAAATATAAAATTAAAAGACAAAACCTCAAATAAAGCAAAAATACTAACAAATCCAGTGGGCTCTCTAACTCACTAGAGTATTACAATGTTTTGCACAAAGTAAGAAAAAGATTATAATGACCCAATGGAATGATGTTTCTGCAGAAAAGGAGCTACATAGTAAGGCAGACTGTTGGAGCACCATGATCTACACATGGTTTGAAGGCTATATAGCATAGAGATTATATCTGATTTTGTAAAGCTTTTTTTTTTTTTTTAATGTGTGTGCTTATATCCCTGTAAAATGCATGGGAACCCACAAAGTTTCCTAACTGGCTCTTGGTTAAATGACATATTATTCTGTGGTTTGTAATGAAATAGCTTCCAGGTGGAGAATCTGTTCATTAAATGTGGGGTAAAGATATCCTTCAAGATGTCCAGTGAATGGCTCCTTCAAGACTGTTAAATTCTGAAGCACACTGAGCAGTTCCACAATCCTAGGACTCGTAAAAATACCATTATCTGGAAAACCAAGAGGATTCCTTGAGAAGTCATGCTCTTTTGGGGCGCCAACTAACAGACTTATTTGCTAGTTAGCAAGGATAACTGAAATATATATAAATTTATATGTATATGTGATTATATGTAAAATGATATATATGATAAATTCTGTCTCAAACGTCAAAGCACTGTTATTTTCTAGGTATAAGTGATTATATATGTACATATATGTAAACACACACATGTATGTACACACTCACACATATATTCCCACCTTCCAGGAAAAGAGGGGCGTGAAATCAAAATGTGTTTATCAACACGTGAGCATATTGAGGATGGGCAGATGCCCTTGGTCATGGGACAGTTAGCCTTGCTGTTGTGCTTATTTTACCTGGGGCCATTCCACTTGGTCCATAGTAACTTATTGAGAGGCAGATCCCATTTTCTAAGGTGGCAGAAAAAGATCCAAACTTGCTGACAGCTTTATTATCTGCATCTGATTTTTCTAAAAGACAAATTCAAATTAAGGACATTTCCATTTTATTAAAAAGAAATTAAGCAAAACAGTGAAAAGTGGAAATCACATAGATAAAAACATGGATATGATTAATTAAATTATTGATATGTATGTATGTACCAATGAATTATTATGAAATCATTAGAAAACTTTGTTTTCAAAGAATATTTAATGAATAGGAAAATGCTCATGATGATAAAGTAAGAAATACACTACAATAGAGGCTACTGCTGGGGTGGTAGAATTAGGGCAACTGTCATCTTCTTTAAATATTCTTATATTTCCTAATTTTTCATAATAAACCACATATTCTTTTATCAAACAAAACAAAGAAAAGTAACTTAAAAATTTCTGTTTTAAGTTCTTGGGTATATTCAAGCTTGTCAAACCCTGTGCTCTTGAGTTTGGAAAATACTGGGGCCATAACTGAATTTATTAGTAAGATTTAGTTATTTATCTTATTACTAATTTGAGTTTAAAACATCTTATTAATTAACTCTTCTCCTTTTGCAGGTATAACCCATGTCACATTGGGCAGAGAGCATTGTTTCTCCAGGTGGTATTTCCTGGAGATGTTAAGTAGTGTTATCAGGAAGTTTCATGGTGTATAATCAATGGACATTCACCTGGAGTTCTCAGCTACTAGCAGGTAGAGACTATCAAGACTAAATGTAGGATTTTTCTCTTGTCCTTGCAACCTAAGAAACTTGAAAGCATGGGGAGAACTAAGTGATAGAGCACAGAAGGAAACCCCAGCATTTGTAGTGAATATTGGAGAAAAGTTAAAACTTCAGTAGAAATCAATTAATGCAGACCTGAGTGCTAGAGACTGCACTTGATGCAAGTTGTATAAAACAAAATTCTGGCCAGAATGAACATTGCAAACACAATGTTGCTATGTAAATGTAGCCAGCTACAGACTCTGTATGACAACTGGAATCAAGAGCTGGGCATCCAGAGAGGGCAAAACCAAGTTAGCAGTCCACTATACATGTGCTGTGTATACAATGTAGGTACATGTTACCTTAGGGAAAATGTATATAAGCAGAACGGCAAAACACTTTCCTTACCAACTGGAAAAATGACCCTAGTTGCTAAGTGGAAGTGATGCCTGTGTGTTGCTGTCAGATGGATGGGTTTGACACGTTGCTGAAATATTAACCTCCACTGACACAGAGATGCAGCTGCTTACCTGTTTCAAGATTTTGCTCTTCCTCTCTTTTTTCTTTCTCATCTTCTGAGGAACAATCCTCTTCTTTTTTTTCCTTTTTCACAATTTTCTTAGGGTCTTTTAAATGAATTATAAAAGTGTGCTTGTCCTTTTTCACTGTCACCTTGATAAAAGTTGGCCCTGGGGAAAATCATGGGACAGATGATGGGCTGCTGTTGCTGCCCCATTAAGGTCCTCTACAAGACATCTAAATAATGCAGCATAGAATGTAAGTAAGGGCATGGAAACATTTATGGGCATCACTATTTTACAAAAAGATGCCTAAAGGAATAAAGTGATGGTGGAATCCCAGAAATAAATGGCAGGTAGATCAGGGAGATGTTTGCAGACTTTCTAATCAAATTACAGAAGAGCATAGAGCTTGGGGTTCTGCTGCCAAGGTCCAGTTATTTTTGCTACAGAGAAGTTGCTTTTGGATTCAGAAGAAATCTAATGAAATCCAATGAAATCATTAGAAGGATTCAGAAGAAATCAAATTACAGAAGAGAAAACACACTGGTTGAGGCTGATGTACACCTATACTCAACTTGATGATTAATAACACGAGTTAGTTGATGCAAAAGGGTTTTACAGCTTTTAAAGAATTACATCAATGTTAATTATAGTAGTTGTTATTGTTAGTAGCAGCAAATCAGAATTTTCCAAATGGCACATTCCCTCTTCTAGAGTTCTGACTCATTTTTTGTCTCCTTTCTCAGCTTTTCTCTTTTTTTATCCAGCTTATTCTTCTCAACTTTGATTGAGCTATCTTCTGTCAAAAATTGATAGGATTAGGATGAAAATACTGCACTTACTGTGACTCACCTGAAACAAATAAACGTGTGCATATATAAATTTCGATAAGTGCAAGGAATAGTCATGGAAAATAGAACATAGCTTTATAAAACTTGAGTCCAGTAGTTTTCTCAATTATGTGATTCTGAGCTCCATTTTTAATTGCTATTAATTGTACCCTATACCCAAGGATGATATTAAAAATATCAAATATGAAAACATATAATATAAATAAATATGTATACCTATACATTAATAACAATCCCTGTCATGTTTTAAATAAACAAACCTTATATAATAAAATGGTCTGACATTGGTGTAAGTTGCACCACCAGCCATTGTTTAAATAATTTGAATGACTTTCAGGCCTTTTTATTTAAAAAGTTATTGATGTGACCTTTTGTTTGATGTGGCAGTTACTACCTAATGGTGCTTCCACTTGAGCCATGATTTCACATAGGGAACAGCATCTAACTTTTGCAATGACTTCCTTATTAAATTGATAGTTATTAGATGACAAGAAAGAAAGAAGAAAAGAGAGAGGGATTGAGAGAGAGAGAGGTAGGATGTCAGGCAGAGTGTGGGGGTAGGAGGAGTCCGTGTTGCTTCTTGCTGGGGTACATAACCTTGTGGACATTAAATAGGGCCCTGATCAAATTCCCTCCACACTGACCACCTCACAGCTCTCAGAGACAATAAGCTATCAAATAAAGCCCAGGTTCTCAAATCCACCTGAGAGATCTTTAAAGCACAGTAAAAAGATAGGCCCTGCTAAATCTGCTTCTTGGGAAGAGTTATACATTTCCTTTAGAGGTTTTCCAGACTAGGTCCTCCTCACTGCATCCCTAAGGCTCCTCTCCCACTCAAAGACTTCTGAATCCAAAAGCAACTTCTCTGTAGCAAAAATAACTGGACCTTGGCAGCAGAACCCCAAGCTCTATGCTCCAGAGCCCAAACTAGAAATTTATTCTCAACTCACAGTATGTGCTTGGTTTCTGAGATAACACTATGTGCTGCAATTAATATTAATTAATTAATTATTTGCTTATTGTGGTTACTATTATAATATCTCCAAATCGTATAGAAATATTTTAAGATTTTAACAACTAGAATGTTCATAAGAGTGTGTTCCAGGTAAACTCTCAGATGGCTTGTGCCCTGCGGTCAATTATGACAGAAGCATGTGAGGTCTGGAAATGCTGACTGTGGTGTACAATAAACAAAAGTGGGCACATTACCACTCTCACCTATCATACCCAAAGTTACAAGGCTCCAAGTTGATCTGAAATGGGTTAGTATCTTCCAAGCTATTAACCAGCTGCATTCAAAATGTACCTTTTTCAAATGTTGTTTTCTCTACTTCAATCTGCCCTCCATCCGAAGGATACAGATAAGAATTTGTTCCTGAGATTTGGATGGGTATATCTCCCATATTATATCCACGAAACTAGAAGGGAAAACACAGGCTTTGAGTGTGGAACTGCAATTGACAAAAATCAACTCATCAGTGTGAGCCAGTTAAAGTTGCTATCAGCTTAATTTCTGCAAAATGAATGTCTGTCACTTTGTATACTCACAGGACAGTGTCCATATTACCTTTAGCACCTCCTGTGATATTATAAGGACAGGCAGAATTAAAGGAGGTCCATGATTTTAAAATCTGTTCACTGGAGCACCCTTACAGCTAGTGCAGATCAAATCACTGTACTATTGAAAAGCAGTGGGAGAAGAAATCAATTTCTCTTTCACTGGCTATTAATATTCTGTTTAAAGTGAACTGATATATTGTTAAATATTGACACTTTGTACTTTTTTCTTGACACTTTATCCTTCAGGAAGTCATATGGTAAAGACATTTTTTGCTAAGTGTTGCTGATAGAGCTCCAAGTAATTGTGATGCATGCTAAGGCTTGAGAAGTGGCTTAGAGTAGCAGCTAGAAAGGACAAGGGCTGTTAGATTTCTGTCCATCTCTTTCCCATTAGGTTTTCCTCATAAGACTGCCTAAGGGACAGACTGGCAAAGGGAAGATTTTACCAAAGCCTACAAGCAAAATACATGGGTGCCTACTCAGCAAGGCCTATCATCTGAGACAAATACAGCCAAACTTTGTGTTCACTTTGACCTTTCACAGTTGCTTTATTTACATTAACCTAAATGAATGCTTTTGTGTCAAATCTCCATTTTCCTGCCCTTAGTAACCTAGTTTCATGGCACTCAAGACAACCTGGCCTGAGGGTATTCCCATCTTGGTGACTGGCTACATAGAAAGTCCTAGGTATAAGAAGGTAGAGTACAGGTCTGAGATCATCTATGCTAGAAAAAACTCCAAGGCCTTCTGTGATGTCAGTGAAAACTGGGAACCTTGTGTTTCCACAGAAGCTGTGTTTCTCCCAAAACAATTAGTAAGAACCCAAAGAAGCTTTTTAGAACACTGATTTTACCGGATAAATGATCTCAGGTTCTGGTTGCTGGAAGGACTCCTCTGCTATTTCTGGAATCCTCATTTGTTCTTCTTTAGTTTTCTCCTTCAAAACAGATTTTTTCTTCAAAAGCTTACTCTCTTCTTTCTCTACCTTTTCCTTGTCTTTCTTTTTACCAGTTTCCTTACTCTTCTTTTCTGCTTTTTTTTCTTCCTTTAAGCGCTCCTCTTCTGCTAATCGATCTTGTTCTTCTTTCCATGCCTATAAACACATTTAAAAAAATTAACAGGATTTTGAAACAAATTAGATCCCATTCAGGTTCATTTTGGAGAATACTTCACATGCTTTTTTGTAAGTTGTATCTCTGACAAATTAAGATACTGAGCTAGAAACCTTGGAGTTACCCTTGATTCTCTTCTTTCACCCAACTTCTGTGTACCACACCCTGCCAAAGCTCTTCAGAGATTTTTCTTTACTCAGCTGCCTCTCTCACCTTCTGTTGCACTTTTCTTTAATTCAGGTCTTCTCATCTTTATCCTGAACTATTACATCAGCCTCTTAGCTGGTCTTCCTGCTTCCTATACTTTTCCACATGAACCAATCCCCAATTTAGGTCCTGGTTAATTTAGCAGTATGGTGGACCAGATGTTCAAAGAAACATTCCTGGCATAAAATATTTCAAAATTGATAGATAAAATGTAAAAATCATCATTGTAAAGCATAGCAGGGCCGGCAACAAAGTAAAAGGTATGAGAAAGCACTAGTCTAGTGAGGAACATGAGTACTCAGGACAGAAGTTTCTAAGGACTATATGCCCACCCCTGGCAGCCTAGAACTGAAGTTTTAATAGGTTATAGGGACTAGAGCAATAACCTGGGAGATCAGATCAAAGATATCTGAATAGAGCAGGAATTTTAAAAAATGACACCTTCATTGGGTGAACTAAAAAAATATCTTTCCCTATAGAGGAAGACCATTAATTCTAGCTTGCTTCTTTGGCCTTGTGTTAAAGGTGAGGAGGGGTGGGGGAGTCTCCCCTGAGAACTAATGACAAGGCTGTCCTCACATAGATTTGTGGCCAAAATATACATTACCTTAAAAATGTATTCTAAAAATGTTGTGGGTGGGTATGAGCTCACAAATGAAAATCACAAAACATGCAGAAGTAAGCCAAAAGCAAGAATCTGAAGAAGAAACTTTCTGTGAAGACATATCTGCAAAGACTGAAGATATTGGAATTATCAAATAGAGGATATAAAATAAGTATTTTGATCTGCTTAATCTTTAATTTGCTTAAAGAGAAAGAAGGATCCAAAGTATAAATAGGAAATAAAAAATTATCAAAAATAAGAAGGTGAGTTTGAAAGCTCTGTTAGAAATGAAATAGAACTTTAGAAAAGGCAGCATTTTAATAGATTATGGCTGAGCCATTTCCAGAGTTGATGAAAGACATGGATCCTAACATTCAGGAAGGCCAATGAGTTAAAAGCAGGAAGTAACAGTGGTGTGTGTGCTGACTTTGAAATAAGTCAGTCAGAGAAAGACAAATATCATATGATTTCACTTATATGTGGAATTTAAGAAACAAAACAGATGAACATAGGGGAAGGGAAGGAAAAATAAGAGAAAGACCAGGAGGGAGGCAAACCATAAGAGACTTTTAACTATAGGGAATAAACTGACGGTTGCTGGAGGGTTGCTATGTGGGGGCATGGGGAATGGGCATTACCTGGGTGATGGGCATTAAGGAGGGCATTTGAAGTAATGAGCACTGAGTGTTGTATGCAGCTGATGAATCACTGAATTCTACCTCTGAAACTAATAATAGAGTATATATTAATTAAATTGAATTTAAATAAAAAATTAAAAACAAAAAACAGTTGTGTGCTGGACCTAGCTCATGTTGACTTGAAAGAGTTTATTGTTAAATTTTCCAGAATTTTTTTTTTTTTAAGATTTTATTTATTTATTTGACAGAGATAGACACAGCGAGAGAGGGAACACAAGCAGGGGGAGTGGGAGAGGGAGAAGGAGGCTCCCCACAGAGCAAGGAGCCCGATGCGGGACTCGATCCCAGGACCCTGGGATCATGACCTGAGCCGAAGGCAGTTGCTTAACCAACTGAGCCACCCAGGCGCCCAAATTTTCCAGAATTTTATGAGCTGGTTGTTAACCACAGCATTATTTAAAATTAGATTATATAAATGCACAATCAAATAACATTAAAAACAAAGACATTAAATACTCAAAACTTACCACCTTCCTAATTATTCTGTTATATTTCACTATTATCTATGTTCTTGAGGTTATTTATATGAATTGTAGCTGTATCATAGAAATACAATATAATGGTGTACTACTGCATATTGCTTCTAATTCTGCATTCAGTGATGTTGTATTAATAGCCTGAATACAGCCATAATGGGCATTTTTACACTACACATATCAGCAAATGCTACAAATCAGGGACCAACTCACTGTTGGTTATCTAAACTTATGAAAGTGGTGAGAAAATGTTAATAATGCAGATTAAATTTAAAAGTGTCATGTTTGGAGTTGTTATTTTGTAACTAGTTAAAAATCTAGCTTATACTCCCTGTTTACAAGAGATGCTTAAAATATAAACACACAGGAAGGTGAAAATAAAGAGATGTAATTTGCCAGTCAAATGCTATCTGATAGAAAGCATTTATCCCTTTGTTTCTCTTTATTAATTTTAGAATCAATTTTCCAAGGTTCATAAAAATTCTGCTGGGATTTTGATAAGAATAACATTGAGTTTATAGTATATTTGATTTCCTAAATTGAATGTTCTCACCCATGACCATTGTATATTTTCCCACTTATTTAAGTGTTAAATGGCCTCAGTAATATGTTTTAATTTTCTCCATAAAGATTTTGCTTATCTTTTATTTTTCTTCACACCTTACAGTTTGTGTTTTTCTTGCAAATAATACTTATTTTCTATTACATTTTCTATTTTTTCTTTTTAGATTTTTTTACTTATTTATTTGAGAGAGCAAGCACAAGCAGGGAGAGGGGCACAAGCAGGGGGGAGGGGCAGAGTGAGAGGGAGAAGCAAACTCCCCACTGAGCAGGGAGCCTGAGGCAGGGCTCATCCCAGGACCAAGGGTTCATGACCTGAGTCAAAGGCAGATGCTTAACCGACTGAGCCACCCAGGTGCCCCTCTATTACATTTTCTAATTGGTTATTGCTGGAGAATAGGACCTCCAATGATTTTTTTCCACGTTGATCTTGTATACAGCAACCTTGCCAACTTCCCTAATTTATTTTATTTTTTATTTTTTATTTAAATTCAATTAGCCAACATAACATCATTAGTTTCAGATGTAGAATTCAGTAATTCATCAGTTGCATATAACACCCAGTGCTCATCACATCATATGTCCTCCTTAATACCCATCACCCAGTTACTCCATCCCCCCACTCACCTCCCCTCCAGCAACCTTCAGTTTCTTTCCCATAGTTTAGAGTCTCTCATTGTTTGTCTCCCTCTCTGATTTCTTCCCATTTGTTTTTCCTTCCAATCCTCTATGATCCTCTGCACTGTTTCTTATATTCCTCATATAAGTGAAACCATGTGATAATTGTCTTTCTCTGATTGACTTAATTCTGTCAACATAATACCTCCTAGTTCCATCCATATCAATGTAAATGGTAAGATTACATCCTTTCTGATGGCTGAATAATATTCAATTGTATGTATATACCACATCTTCTTTATCCATTCATCTGTTGATGGACATCTGGGCTCTTTCCATAGTTTGGCTATAGTGGGCATTGTTGCTATAAACATTGGGATGCAAGTGCCCCTTCGGATCACTACATTTGTATCTTTGGGGCAAAGAGCCAGTAGTGAGATTGCTGGGTCATAGGGTAACTCTATTTTCAACTTTTTGAGGAACCTCCAGACTGTTTTCCAGAGTGGCTGCACCAGCTTGCATTCCCACCAACAGTGTGAGAGGGTTCCCCTATCTCCCCATCCTCACCAACATCTGTCCTTTCCTGACTTGTTCATTTTAGCCATTCTCACTGGTGTGAGGTGGTATCTCATTGAGGTTTTGATTTGGATTTCCCTGATGCCAAGTGACGTTGAGCATTTTTTCAAGTGTCTGTTGGCCATTTGGATGTCTTCTTTGGAGAAATGTCTGTTCATGTCTTCTGCCCATTTCTTGATTGGATCATTTGTTCTTTGGGTGTTGAGTTTGATAAGTTCTTTATAGATCTTGGATACTAGCCCTTTACCTGATATGTCATTTGCAAATATCTTCTCCCATTCTGTCAGTTGCCTTTTATTTTGTTGACTCTTTCCTTTGCTATGCAAAAGCTTCTTATCTTGATGAAGTCCAAATAGTTCATTTTTACTTTTGTTTCCCTTGCCTTTGCAGAAGATTCTAGCAAGAAGTTGCTCTGGCCGAGGTCAAAGAGGTTGCTGCCTGTGTTCTTCTCTAGGATTTTAATGGATTCGTGTCTCACATTTAGGTCTTTCATTCATTTTGAGTCTATTTTTGTGTATGGCATAAGGAAATGTTCCAGTTTCATTCTTCTGCATGTGGCTATCCAATTTTCCCAACACGATTTGTTGAAGAGACTGTATTTTTTGCATTGGATATTCTTTCCTGGTTTGTCAAAAATTAGTTGACCATAGAGTTGAGGGTCCATTTCTGGGCTCTCTATTCTGTTCCATTGATCTATGTGTCTGTTTTTGTACCAGTGTCATACTATCTTGATTACAGCTTGGTAATAGAGCTTGAAGTCCGGGACTGTGATACCACAAGCTTTGGTTTTCTTTTTCAACATTCTTCTGGCTATTCAGGGTCTTTTTTGGTTCCATACAAATTTTAGGATTATTTGTTCCAGTTCTGTGAAAAATGGTGTTATTTTGATAGGGATTGTATTGGATGTATAGATTGCTCTGGGTAGCACAGACATTTTAACAATATTTATTCTTCCATTCCATGAGCATGGAATGTTTTTCTATTTCTTTGTGTCTTCCTCAATTTTTTCGTAAGTGTTCTGTAGTTTTCAAAGTACAGATCCTTTACCTCTTTGGTTAGGTTTATTCCTCGGTATCATATAGTTTTTGGTGCAATTATAAATGGGATCGACTCCTTAATTTCTCTTTCTTCTGTCTCATTGTTTGCGTATAGAAATGCCACTGATTTTTGTGTATTGATTTTATATCCTGCCACTTTGCTGAATTCCTGTATGAGTTCTAGCAATTTTGGGGTGGAGTCTT